TTTTTTTTTCTGGTACCGGGAATCGAACTCACGACCTTGCGCTTGCCAGGCAGGCGCTGTGCTGCTGAGCTAAATCCCCAGCCCCTTCCCGGCTTTTTCAAGGCAATCGCTACCTACTTAGACTATCAATCCCTGAGGTCCATCCCTAGGGAGGTGAGTGGGTGCATTTGTTTCATCGTTCGTCTTGAGGTCTGGCCCAGAGTTGCCAGGTATCTTGTCTTCCGCACTGGCTCCTTTGAGGGCCCAGCCCTGTCTGAGTGCCTATACTATTTCTGACTCAGCTGCCTGCAACAGAGGGAGAGGTTAGTCCTCCCTGAAGCTAAAACATACTTTCTCTGGACCAGCCCTCTGTAAATGCATCCGTTTGCTTTTCTGAGCAATAGAAAGGTTATGATAAAAGAAATCTCTCAAAGATATTCCACATTGTAATGCAATTCTGGAATTTGATTTAGGTAATCCATCCTTTTAGGGGAGCTGGGCATGGAGGTATCTGCCTGTTATCCTAGCCCCCCAGGAGGCTGAGGCAGTACGAGCACAGCAAGTTCAAGGCCAGCCTGGGCCACTTTGCAACATCTTCTCTCAAAATAAAATAAAACAGGCTGAAGCACATCCCTGGGACCAATTCCCAAAACTCGAACACAAAACAAAACAAAAATCTGTCTTTTTGGAAAAAGGAATGGATGAGTCCATGTATTTTGAGTTTTAGAAAAAAGGTAAAATGCAAAGATAAAGAGAAAAAGACCAATCTCCAATAACAGACTGTAGCGTCACCACTAAAACCTTTCCTGTGGACATTTTGAAGAGGTCCCGCTCTCCCTCTTTTCCCCACCTTATGCCCGGACGATTCACCTCAAAACTCTGATACAAAAGAGGCAGGAGGATCGCCAGTTTGAGCCCAGCATGAAAAACTGAGTGACAAAGTGAGACTTTGTTTGCAAATAAAAATCAAAAGGGCCAGGGATGGAGCTCAGTGCCACAAAGGCCCTGGGTTCGATTCCCAGTGCCAACAGGAAACAAACAAACAACTTTGACTTTTTCCGAGTACGCAGAACATTCATCTTGAGATTCCAGCCTCAAATGAAGCTCTGTGAGCAGCTCTTGTCAGGATCCCGGAAGTGCAGACGTGAGCGGCCCCGCAGCCGGCTCATCCTGCCTCTTTTTTTTGGTCTTTTTGAGACAGGGTCTCGCGATGCAGTTCAGGCTGGCCTTGAGCTCACTTTGTAGCCCAGGCTGGTCTCGAACGCGCAAGGATCCTCCTGCCTCAGCCTCCCGAGGGCTGGGATAACAGATGTGCGCCACCACGCCCGGCCCACTCCGCCTCTTGTTTGTGAACATACAGTCCCATTCTTGAACCCAACGCTGAGAATGCTCCAAAGATTCTTGTAACCTTATACGAATTTTAAATAAACTGCATTTGAAAAAACCAAACAAATATTCAAACCCCAAAATATACATCGAGCCAATGAGACTTAAGGCTCACAAACATTCTGGTCACCTCCCCAGCCACAGAATACTTTATACGTAGCCCAGGCTGGCCTTGAACTAATGGTGATCCTCCTGCTTCAGCCTCCCATGTGCTGAGATTACAGGTGTGTGTCACCATACCTGGCACCTAAGATCCTTTTACCTTGCTCAAATAACACTTCTCTCAACTCCAAGCTTTCAATAACTGAAAACGTGCAAAATGCATTTACCAAAGCAGGTGTGCTGGCCTCCTAGCTCCTCTCTGAGAATCTTCATAATGAAAAGCAGACAAGGGCTGAGGCTGTAGTAGATCCGAGGTCCTGGGTTCCATCCCAGCATGATCACTGAAAACAGAGCTAATATTTTAACTTTAATTAAACACCTTTTTTTAGCCAGGTGTGGTGGTGCACGCCTGTAATCCCAGCACTTGGGAGGCTGAGGCAGGAGGATCGGTGTGAGTTGGAGACCAGCCTGGGCTACAAAGTGAGCTCAAGGCCAGCCTGAACTGCATAGCGAGACCTTGTCTCAAAAAGACAAAAAATGAAGTAAAATAAAATAAATAAACACCTTTTTTTGTTATTTCTTTTCTTTTTTTTTGTACTTGGATTCAAACTCAAGACCTTGTGCTTCCCAGGCAGGCGCTTGTGCCACTGAGCTATAGCCCTGGCCCAAAACACCTTTTAAGAGGATACTTGGTTTTCTAGTAAATATGTCCTATTTTGTATTTTTTTAGGTTTTTCTTTTTTTGATACTGAGAATTGAACTCAGGACCTTGCACTTGCTAGGCAGGCACTTGTGCTCTGAACTATATCCCCAGCCCTGTATTTTTTTAATGATGCACTTTTTTTTTGTCTTTTGGAGACAGGGTCTCACTATGCAGTTCAGGCTGGCCTTAAGCGCACTTTGTAGCCCAGGCTGGTCTCAAACTCACGAGGATCCTCCTGCCTCAGCCTCTCAAGTGCTGGGATGAAAGACGGACCCCACCACACCCGGCTCTCTTCTCAATTCTTGCTTCTCTATGGACATTTTCTCCATCAGAATGTGGCTCGTCCCAGTTGCGATGTCCTTATATTAAGTACAAAATACACACTAGGCATCGAAGACTTACATTAATAACAATGTAAAATATTTCATTAATAATTTTTTTTTTGTCTTTTTGAGACAGGGTCTCACTATGCAGTTCAGGCTGGCCTTGAGCTCACTTTGTAGTCCAGGCTGGCCTCAAACTCGTAACAATCCTCCTGCCTCAGCCTCCCCAGTGCTGGAATTATAGGTTTGAGCCACCATGTCCAGCTAAATTTTTCTATTATGTTGAAATCTGCATTTATTTTGGGATATAATAGGCTAAAATGTGTCATTAAAATTAATTCCTCTTATTTTTTATAACTTTTTCAGGAGCTACTTGAAAACTTTTAAAATTACAGATGTGGTTCACTTATTAGCCTTTTATTTTTTCTTTTTGAGACAGGGTCTCCCTATGCACTTCAGGCTGGCCTTGAACTCACTATGTAGCCCAGGCTGGCCTTGAACTCACAGTGATCCTTCTGCCTCAGCCTCCCAAGTGCTGGGATTACAGCTGTGTGCCACCACACCTGGCCCACTTATTGCTTTTTTTTTTTTCAAGAGAACAAAAAAAGCAATAGCAAAATAACAGCAACATAGACAAAAAACAAACAAAACATAAACAATAAAACTTACTAGCTTTAAAGGTTCTTCTCCTACCTTCTGTAGTTACATAATGTTTTCCATCCCTTCCTTCTAGTAACTGCTTAGATTTAGAAGGTAGGATAGAAATGTGACAGCTACTTGAGGCTGAGGCAGGAGGATCTGAAGTTGAAGGCCAACCTGGACAATTTAGCAAGACCCTGTCTCATGTTTTAAAAAAAGGAGAGGGGTGCGTGACATGTAACTCAGTACTTTCTGGGTTCAATCCCAATGCTCCTCCCAAGCTGAACTCTGTGACAAATATTTTTATTTTGTGTTGCTTTGCAGAGTTGGGAATCAAACCCAGTGCCCCCGACACACACACACATGCTGGGCACGTGCTCCTGTGGCCAGGCTTTAAATCAAGAGAATTATATGTCTGTAAGATAATGAGTCTTACTTCAGTTTTTTTTTTTGGTACCGGGATTCGAACTCAGGATCTTGCGATTGCCAAGCAGGTGCTTGTGCCGCTGAGCTACATCCCCCACCCCTTACTTCAGTTTCTCATTGGATTGATACAACAGTGTTGGGGGGATGGGCAGGTAGACGACGACCTTCATTAGTATCTGTGAGTGTAAGAACTGCTGGGGGATGAAGGACACACATGCGGATGTAGAAGAGATAACGGGATATAGTTCCACCCTCCTGCCTCCCCAGGCTGTGATCTATTTTTCCTTTGGCTATTCTCTCTTTCTCTTTCCTTCTCTCTCTCTCTCTGTCTCTCTCTCTCTCTCTCTCTCTCTCTCATATTGAGATTGCACCCAGAGCTACACCGAGTTACATCCCCAGCCTTTTTTATATCTTACTTTGACACAGGGTCTCACTAAGTTGTCCAGGCTGGGCTGGACGTTGTGATCCTCCTGCCTCAGCCTCCCAGAATTCTGGGAACATACATGTGCGCCACCACGCCCGGATCTTATTTCTTTGTCTGCCTATACCAATTTAAACTCCTCCCCTGATAATGTGGCGGTTGCAAAGACAAAGAAAAGCTAAGGGGAGGAAGGTGCAGAGCAGGGTAGCAAATCTGAAGACCACAAAACCTAAAAAAATGTTCCATTAAATTGAAATTGAGATCATCCTGTTCCATAGCCCACCCAGACCCGTAACCCATTGATTTGTAGAATTAAAGCGGAGGACAGAGAGCCGAGCGTGGTGACGCACACCTATCGCACAAGTGGGAGGCTGAGGCAGCCTGGACTACACAGCCAGACCCCGTCTCAAATAAATAAATAAATAAATACAACTGCAGGATCACTATTCATCTAACGCACCAATTTTTTAGTATTTACTAAAATAGTACTATTTTTAGTATTTTAGTATTTTTTAGTATTTACTAAAAACTCAGGCACATTCACTGAAAATAACATTTTTTCTAACAGGGAAAAAACATAAATGAGCAAGAGCAAGACGAGATTGTTTGTGAACCTGAAAGAGCTCTGATTCCCACTCTCAAAGTAGCAAGTTGTTGCCATTTGCTGAGCGCAGAATGCAGACCTCAGAAGAGGAACCAGAACAAGAGCGGACTTGTCCGCCCCCGGACGCCGGCAGCCATGGCCCGCAGCCCAGGTAAGAGATGAGCATGAAACGAGAATAAATATTCCATGCAGCGTGTATTTTTCTTGCTATTGAGGGCATAAAACTGGCAATTAAATAGACTGCTTAAAAATTAACTGTACGTGATCGATTCCTGCCCCGCCCTGAACGCGACCTCCTCTTACCCTTCCCGCCCGCGCGAGGGAAGCCCCAATCAGCTCCCGACACGTCACTGAGCCCGCCCCTGGCTCCAGCTGTAGCCAGAGTCCTCATGCACCTACGGCCTCTTTTGCTTGCGCAGGGAAGCGCTGTATTTCGTGCGGTCCTCTCCTCTCCGGGTCCGGAGTAAAGGCCTTCTTCCCCCTTTGTTTATTCTTCTGCTCCGTAAACCTCACAGTAGGCACACAGGGGTAAACCTATTCATCCAAGTTCTTCCGATGTGAAAATCCAAAACTGATTTGACCTCTTGGCCGTGAGTGTCCTACTACTAGCTCTGAATCACTGATGCAATGCTAATTATGATCAAACTGACAAAAATGGGTCAAATTTATCGTTGCATAATTTTTTTTTTTTGTTTTTTTGGAAACAGGGTTTTGCTCTGTAGTGCAGGCTGGACCTGAACTCTATGTTGCCCAGGCTGGCCTCGATCTCACAGCGATCCTCCTGCCTCAGCCTCCTGAGTGCTGAGATGACAGCCGTAGGCCTCCATGTCCGTCTCCAGGCCCCTTATTGAAATGTATCCCACTTGTATTTCATTTTTCTAAAGCAAAAAATGTCAGATTTTGCATTTCTCTGTTGAACGGAGAGTAACTGCTTAATATGCTTTTGCTGGGCCACCTGCTCGGCCGGCCAGCTTGGCCCGGAGCCCGTTTGGAGGTGAAGGGTGTCCTGGCTCGGCTCCACCCTCCTCTCTGGCCCCTTCTCTCTCGGGCCGTCGAGCTCTCAGCCCTGGCTGCTGTCTCACTCTTTCTAAGGTGTCCGATAACCTTTGCAGGCCTGGACTCACGACGGTGCGGTCGTAAATGGCTTGAGGTGTCAGGCGCCCAGAGGCGCATGTGTTTCCAGATGCTTTTGAAAACAACCATGGGAAATGGAAATCACGGAGTGAGGTTGCAGTTGGAATGAAACGTTCAGCTAGGTCTGCTATTTAAGTCTCCGTCCAGGGCCTCACCCTCGGCAGAAGTGAATTCATTAATGCATTGAGACCGCAGCCTCCCTGCTTAGGTGTCTGTCAGTCCGTCCGTCTGTCCATCTGTCCGTCCGTCCATCTGTCCCCAGCTCCAGCCCAGCTGGTCCCCACCGCATGTCTTTTCTGCTCCTGGCTAATCATGTTGCGCTCATCCTTCACCACCCAACTCGGATAACCATCGGGGGTGGAAGGCTGACTCCTTTCCCAGGACAGAGTCCCACTGGACTCTGAGGGCAAGCCTGCAAAATCAGAAGCCCTCATGCTCTATGGGGATGAAACAGACTCCACACAAAACCAGCTGTATTTAGAAAGCCATAGCTATATCAACGTTAGCCCAAATTTGTCCCCTTCTCCTCTGTATCTCTGAAAGGACTCAGGGGATGTTCCACCTCTAACCCATGGGGTGTAAGCAACCAGAGGACAGAAACCTTGCCTTTATTCTTTACAAGTTTCCCAAAGCACCCAAAAAGTAGTTTATACACAGTGTTGCTTAAAAGTACTCAGAGGGCTGGGCGTAGTGGCTATCATCCCAGCACTCTTGGAGGCTGAGACAGGAGGGTCCCAAGTTCAAGCAAGGCCAGCCTGGGCAACTTAGTGACTTAGAAAGATCTTGTCTCAAAATTTAATAAATACATAGGTACACACACACACACACACATACATACATATATACATAATTAGGGCTGGGATTATAGCTCAATGTGAGGCCCCAGTACCACCTACACACATGAATTTTTTTTTTGGTACTTGGAATCGAACTCAGAACCTTGCACCTGCCAGGCAGGCACTGTGCTGTTGAGCTACATCCCTGGCCCGACACACACATGAAAAGAGAAGAAAAAACGACAACAAAAACACACCCATCACTCCATAGTTGCTGGAAGCAAATAAGATTTGGAGGCCTCCATCTAGGAGAGTGGGCAAAAATATTAAATGGGAAAAAATTAATTTTGAAGAACTAAAGATTTAGCCCTGCAGGTCCCATGCCATAGCTACTGACCACATTTGGTTATTCAGTGCTTGGAATGTGGCAATGGAGGAAGTGAATTTTAAATTTTACTCAATTTTAATTTAATCTGACAATCGATTTCCTTTTGGGAAATATTTAAAAACATTCAAAATAACTTAAACATGTGGATCTAGTTTTCTATTTATCAACTTCATGACCTCTAAATACAGATCTAGGTTTTTTTTTTGAACAGGGAATCGAACTCAGGACCTCACACTTGCCGGGCAGGCGCTGTGCCACTGAGCTCTATCCCCGCCCCCAGATCTAGGTTTTCCAGGGAGAATTTAGCATGTGAACTGAGATGTGCTATAAGTATAAAAAGAAACACTGGGTTTCAAAGACTTACATATAATAAAAAGAGTGTAAAGATTATTATTAATAATATTGTACTGATTATGTGTTGTAATGATACTATTTTGCATATATTTGCCTAAGCAAAATATATTACTAAGATGTAATTCTGCTTGATTTTACTGTAGTAAAATTTAAAATTGCATATGTAGGGGGTATAGCTCAACGACAGAGCGTTTACTGATCATACGTGCTATTCTTCCTCCTCTTCCTCCTCCTCTTCCTCGTCCCTCGCTGATCTTTGGGGCTGAACGCGGGCCCTGGGTGTGCTTACAAGTAACTAAGTCAAGTTTTCCGCTTTTGAACTCTCTTTGTCAATGCAGACCACAATCCACTTTCTCCAACCAAGGAGAATCGCACCGACCAGAACCGGCGCCAGGCGGAAACGCTGCGGAAGTTGGCCATACAGCTGAGGCACATGGGAGACCGCATCAACCGCAGGACGGTTCAGGAGGTGAGACCTGGTCACCACAGCAAGGTCAGGGTCCCACCGAGTAGGACAAAGAGCGAACCGGACCGTGGCTGCCCGTGGCCGGGGTACCCAGGAATGGCCGGGACTCCGCGTGAATGATGTCTGGGTCGTCAGTCCTGCAGAGTGGGAGCCTGAGTCCAAGCCGGCCCCGGGTCTCACACCTGCTACTAGGCGGCTGAGTGGATGTGCGGGTCTCCGCCCCACCTGCGCCTCCGGAGGATCAGAATCTCCCCTTCCCGCCTGCCCAGCAGCCTGTGGGCTCTGAGTGCGAGGGAGTGCGCCACGCTCCGAGGAGCACGCGTGGTAGTTTAAGGAATTATGCAGCTTAAGAAATTGCAGATATCTGGGCCCAATGCTGAGAAATTTGGATTTAATTAGTTTGGGGTGAGGCGAGCATTTTAAAAGCTTCCCAAGGAGCTTACTGCCCAGGCAGAAGGAGAACCTGGGCTGTAACTTGGGGTGTCCTTGACTCAGAAGGTTCTGATGTGAGCCCCTGCCCAGCCGGTTGTTTAGTTTCTCCTGATTATGATAGGCAGTAATGAGGGGACCTAGGGGAGATTGATGCTTGCTGTTTGGAATTTTTGGGGTTTTTTTTTGTGGGGGACTGGAATCGAACTCAGGACCTCGAGCTTGCCAGGCAGGTGCTGCACCACTGAGCTATATCCCAGGGCTGCTGTTTGGGGTGATGAAATTACAGCTTGGTTTTCCTCCAGAACCACCTGCAGCCGGGCCCTGCGGTAGGAGGGCTGGCCGCCTCTCCGAGCCCTGAAATTCACGGCGCCACGATGACCTTGTTCATCACTGCCGCTGCCACCAGCTGTCTTCAGGACGTGCCTATCCTCTTTTACCCTCTGGTCCAAATGCAGAAGACACATAGCCCTCCTCTCAAATCAAACATCCCCGAGACAAAGTACAAATGAGAGGTCCCATCTAGGATGCCATAGACCCCAGGGATACAAAGAAAAACAAGCACCAATGACCAGGTGACAAGTGTGATGAGTCAGTTTCATCTGAACAAGTGTTTGTTGAGTGCATACTGTATGCCAGGCTTGGTTCTAGGTGTTAGTAGCTCGAGCAGTGAGCTGGACTGAAGATGAGTCCGTGCCCCTCGAACTCAGAATGGAGGGCCAGCTGACAATAAAGCAGATGAACAGGAAGTAGGAGAGTCAGGTGGGGAGGTGGGCTCCAAGCAGGATGCAGGGCACGTAGTGAAAGGAAAGTAGAGCCTATAGGACCAGCTGGTAGCTTGGATATGGCCGTGAGAGAGAGAAAGAGTAGTCATGCATGATCTTCATGGCTGAGACACCACTTCCTGCATGGCTGAGACACCATCCCTGCAATTTAAAGCAGGAGAGGAGGCAGGCGTGGTGGTGCACCCCTGTAATCCCAGCACTTGGGAGGCTGAGGCAGGAGGGTTGCCGCAAGTTCAAGGCCAACCTGGGTTGTACAGTTAGTTCAGATGCAGCCTGAACTATACAGCAAGACTCTGTCTCAAAAAAAACAAAACAAAAAAGAATTAAAAAAAGAAAAGAAAAGAAAAGAAAAGAAAAAGCAGGAGGGGTTTATTTTGGCTCACATTTCAGTCCATGGTCAGCAGCTCCAGAGAAGAAACAGCATGGCAGAGGGGCCTGGGGGGAGAGCTGCTCACATCATGGCAGCCAGGAAGGAGCGAGCCAAGGGAGTAAGCAGGAAGGGAGATAAACCCTTCCAGGTCGTGTCCAGGGTGACCTTCCTGTCAGACAGCCCCCGCCTCCTAACAGGAAGTCAGCCAGAAACCCCATATCCCAGTCACCTTCCAAAAGCCTGGCCTAGGAGTGCCTGGGGCTCTAGAGGGACATTTAGATAAAAACAGTCACAGATGACTTCAGCGTTCTTGGCCTGAGCCCCTGAAGGAGTGGTGGTGCTGTTCACGGACTGGGAAGAACTGGGGAGGGCAGATGGGACAATCCAGGACTCTATTTGACTTCAAAATTCCAATTAGGCCAGGCGTGGTGGCGCACGCCTGTCATCCCAGCACTTGGGAGGCTGAGGCAGGAGGGTCATTGTGAGTTCGAGGCCAGCCTGGGCTACACAGTGAGCTCAAGGGCAGCCTGAACTGCATAGTGAGACTCTGTCTCAAAAAGACAAAACAAAAAACAAAAAACAAAAAAACCCAAAAATTCCAATTAGACAAACAAGTTGCGAAGCAGCGGAGTGGTCTGGGGGCTGGAGGAACCGGTCTGGAGTTCGGGTTGAGGTAGGAGTTTGGGTTTTAAGGTGTCTGTTTCCCTGTGGACTCACAGGCTCGTCAAGCCCTAGCTTTCGGGCCGGCTCGATTTAGAAGGAAAACGAAAGCTACGTAATAATATTCACCAAGGGCTTGCTGTCTGCCAAGTCGTGCTAAGGACTTCATGGGCATTGTCTTCGTGGTCCTTACAGCTACGAGTGGAGTTGGGGCTGTTATTCCTGATTCTTTTTTTTTTTTTTTTTTTGGGGGTTTTTTCCGGTACCGGGAACCGAACTCACGACCTTGCGCTTGCCAGGCAGGCGCTTTTGCCGCTGAGCTAAATCCCCAGCCCCTGTTATTCCTGATTCTCACGGGAGGTGCTCAGAGCGGCTGAGGGCCTCGTGCTAGGTTGCACCGCGGGGAAGCCGCTGACCCAGGACTGCCTCACTGCCACACCCACGCACCACTCTAGTCTGCGCCTGGCGTGTGACCCCTCTAGCCCAAGAGGGTGAGACCTGTGGGGCTTACCCCTCTGCCTCTGGGATTCCTTTCAAAAGGCTTCACCTCAGTGGGGGATGTGTACAGGACTTGCCTAACATGTAAAAAAAACTAGGTTCAATCCCCACGACTGTAAAAGAAACCTCACTCAAAGCCTTTACCTTCTGGCCTCAAAGGACAACCATAGCTGCATACTGCACTGGAAGCTTAATGTCCATGGAAGCGCCCAGGTGTGGTGGTGCACGCCTGTAATCCCAGCACTCGGGAGGCTGAGGCAGGAAGACCACTCACTGTGAGTTCAAGGCCAGCCGAGGATGTACAGTGAGTTTAAGGCCAGCCTGAACCATATAGTGAGACCCTGTCTCAAAAAAACACAACAAACAAACAAACAGCATGGAAGAAATACATACACACTGGCCCCCGGACGCCTTCCCACTGTTCATGTGTTTGAAGACGCTGCTATTCTTGCTCCTGCAACTGCCAAGCAAGGCGCTCACCCAGTTACGTTTTTGTCTGCTGGAAGGACTGTTTTGCTCTTGAACACATTTCTTGCTATCTTATTTTTTCACTTAAGCAAGTGTTGTGTTTTCAAAAAAGATCTATATTTCTCAAAAGAACACCTATTTTACCATTTAGTTCTGTGGGACTTTTGTTCAAATGCCTGCTTTTGTTGTTGCTGTTTTTTTTTTTTAAAAAATCTGGGACAGGTTATTTCTCTAGATATAAAGTGTGTTTTAATATAACACACCTTAGGCTTCTAATTGCTTTTAGGATCTTTTCTTTTTTTTTTTTTTTTTTTTTTGAGACAGGGTCTTACCATGTAGTTCAGGCTGGCCTTGAACTCACTAGGTAGCCCAGGCTGACCTTGAACTTGGTGGCGATGCTATCCTCCTGCCTCAGCCTCCTGAGTAGCTTTAAGATCTTAAATGTGCCTCTGCAATTCCACTCCACAGCACTCTCTCCTCCTGAGTTCTGGGAACTGTGGCTTTCTGGCTCTCCCCGGGAAGCTTCCCCACACCTTCCCAGGTAGCGTCTGCCCCTCAGCCTCCCCGGAAGCAGCCTGATGCAGGTATCGCACCGTTTCCCCTCGGGCCCTGCACGATCCAGTCTTGCACAGGGAAATTCTTAGTTTGTTAGGAAGAGGAAGAGAAACTAACATTTCTTGAACAATTTCTTCCAGGTACTCTCTGAAATCCCTCTACAGGTTTCACTTAATTTTCCCGACAGTCCTACAAGGTACAGCAACAGGCATTTCAGGAGAAGTGCTTGGGTTTCAGTGGGATCGAGTAACCTCCTTAGGGCCACTCAGCTACTTTTTTTTCTTTTTTCCCACTCAGCTTCTGAGTTGCAAGTTACGAGCATCTGATCCAGTTTCTGTACTTTTTCTCATTTACCACACTGGAAGGAAATGCGTTTGATTTTCCTGACTAATATCACCATCAAAAGGGGGAAACATCCCTTCATGATTTCCAGTCAGTGGCAGAACAATATCTAAATTGCTTATCCTGCTGCTATTGGTTTATCACTCATTCATTTATTCAACTAACATTTATTGAGCACCTGCTATGTGCCGGCTCTGATTAGATGCTATAGACATAGAGAGCAGCAAGACCCGCAGGCAGGGCGTGTTTGGAGTCTGAGGATAGCAAGGGGGCCGGTGTGGCTGCAGCCGAAGGAGGGAAAAAGCTGAGAGAGATACGGAGAGCTGCGCAGCGGGCAAATTCCACAGGGCCAGGAGCCACCGCAAGGATTTCACTTCTAAGCAAGGGGCCATGTGTGATCACCGGGCCAGAGGAACGGCGTTCACCTACTGCTTGGCAAGCTTGGGGAAGCCGCTAAAAGCCAAAGGAATGGGTCCTCAGCCCTGAGAACAGAGCTGCAGTCTGCTGATGATCAAGACGGGGAAGCTAGGTGCATGCCTGTGATCATAACAGTTTGGGAGGCTGAGGCAGGAGGATCCTAAGTTTGAGTCTTGTCTCAAAAAAAAAAAAAAAAAAAAGCTGAAGATGTAGCCGAGTGCAAAGGCCCTGTTCAGTGGCCAGTCACAAGGGCTGGGGAGGGGACAGGTGTACAGGGAAACCTCCAAGGTGATGGGGAGGATACAGGCCAGACCCAGCTCCCTGCTCTCAGCTCCCACAACTCCTGAATTGTTGGATTGCAGCCTGGATTGAATCAATGTTTTCTAGTGCATCAGATTTCTAACTTTAGGTTCTTCTAATGCTTTTTTTGTGTGTCACCTCTTTCTCTATTTCTCTTTTGTAAGCAGGGTCTCCGGCAGGAGGGCAGAGTCGCACTGGCTCGCCTGGCCCTGTTTGTCTTTGGAAGAACCCAGGTGCTGCTGCGCTTCCTCTGGAATAACCGCGTGCTGTAGAAGGAAGAGCCGTGCCCGTCCGCTTTCCGCTCTCCTGCGGGAACCGCGTCCTGCAGAATCTTCGCCTCCGCCTCCGCTTTGCGCCCGCCCCGTGCTCTCTGCAGGCGTTTGGGGGACTGCAGCGTCCCTGGCCGCTGTCTTTCGGTGGTTGTGACTGGGAGATCAGGAGGACCCCGAGCCGAGGTGGCCCCAGTGCCCCTGCCAGGCCACCCCAGGAACTCCCTTCTGGGCGTGGAGTAGAACTTCCTCCCATGCAGTGGCCACCAGCGCCCCTCGGCCGTCCCATCTCCGTACCCCGGCTCTCAGCCCCCGGTCCCGCAGCAGCGAAGCTCCTCTCTCAGGCCTACGGCACCGCCCCTCCTCTGTGACCCCTCCAGCCCGTCCCTCACCACGCTGAGCTTGGCCACGGTCCTGGACATCTTGCACGGCTCTGCCATTGGCCGTTAGCTTTGCCCGCTTAAAATGAGGGTCACGGAGTCCTCGCGCTAACTTCTGGAGCGCAAGGCCCGACTGAGTACAAACTCAGCACCAGCGGGAGCCTGGAGCTCTTTTCCTGCCCCCGCTGATTCCCGGGCAGGCGCTGATCAGCTGGCAGCCCCTGTGCTGGGTGAATGCATGGCTCCTTCTCTTTCATAAGAGAATAACCTCCCAGCCCCCGTTAGAGGAATTGCAAGTGTTAAGAAGGTTTGTTACTGTTATAAATTAAAAATTCTATGTGTGTGTGCGCGTGTGCATCTTGAGTTCTTCATAGGAAAACTGTTACGTTAAAAAAACTGATTTTAAAAATGAAATAAATATTGTTGTTCCACTGAGCGTGAAAGCTGTGTGCATGTGTCTTCTGTGAAGGAGCGATTCCACTCACCCCTGTTCATCTAGGTTTATAATTTTGTAGATACTGTGTCCCCAAGGACACACCTCTCCTACAGGGCCCACCCCCAACCAGCACATTCTGCCATGATCTCGTCTACAGCTTCATCCACTGAGGAATGTAGTGTCCCACAAAAATTGCATGAAGAGCTGGGCGTGCTGGCGCACTCCTGTCATCCCAGCACTCGGGAGGCTGAGGCAGGAGGATCATTGCAAGTTCGAGGCCAGCCTGGGCTACAAAGTGAGCTCAAAGTCAGTCTGAACTGCATGGCGAGACCCTGTCTCAAAAAGATCAAAAAAAAAAAAAGTGGCATGAAATATGCACGGTGGTACCTTGAATTTTTGCTTGGCGTGGTGATGAGGCACTGTCCTGGGTGTTCTACAAATGTTAATTCATGTGTTTTTCATAACAACCTGGTAGGTAGTCTTATTGTTAGATCCATTTAACCATTAAGGACACGAAGGCAGTAGTTAACACAGAGATCAACCTGCTCCAGACCGCATAGCCAGTCAGTCAGGCAGCTGGGATTGCAAGCCCTGAGCGCGGGTCTCAGCCCTGCACTAGCCTGACCGTGGGAGAGCTTGCCCAGCCTGCAGGGAGCCTCGTCCGCCACTGTACGGTGCCCTGGACCTGCCACATTTATTTCATCTGCCCCCCCTTATGGACACGCGTTCTTTCTAACCATTTGCTGTTGTGAACCTTCATTAAATACACAAGCGTGTGTATTTGGGATGTGTGCTGGTGTATTTGTTGAGTTTCTAGTGCTGGGATCGCTGGCTCGAGGGTAAGTGCATTTGTAACTTGGCCGGATCCTGCTGCCTGGCCGCTATGGGGCCTCACCAACCCCACGGGTCCCCCTGCCTCTCCGGTGCATGGTGTCATTACATTTCTGAAGTTTTGCTGAATTAAGGGGTAAGAAATGATCTCTCAGAACAGCTTCAGTTTCTCTTCCTCTTTCTTCTGGTACTGGGAATTGAACGCTTGACCTTTGCACCGAGCTCTACCTGCAACCCTTTTTTGTTCTCAGTTTTGAGACAGGGTGTTGCTAAGTCGCTCAGTGGCCCAGGCCAGGCTCGAACTCTCAATCCTCCTGCCTCGGCCCCCGCAAAGCCAGGGCTACGAGCCTGCCCATCATGCCCGGCTTAATTTGTACATTTTCAATCATGGGCCGGGCATGCTCTTTCCTATCCTAGAGGCCGTCTGGCCTTTCCTTGTACGTGCAGGGTCCGCTCCTGTGCTTTGCCTGTCCCTTTGGGGGTGCTGGCCTTGAGCTCAAAATACCCCGGGCTGCTTCCTACCAGCAGGGCGCCCTCAGCGGCTCGTCAGAAGGCTGCGCCAGGCCTCTCCCTCCTTGCTCGGGAGGGTCGATGGCTTTGGTGCTCAGGACCAGAGCCTCAGGCAGGTGTCAGTGGGGACCTCTGCGTCACTGTCGGCCATAAGGAGTAACGCAGCAGTTTGGCGATGACCTGGGGGTGTAGATCACCCTCCAGGGGGCCCTGGGGCTGGTGCAGTGTGGTGGCCAGAAAGTCCCCCACCCTAGGGCAGAGGTTCCCGGTGGGGAAGAACCAGTGGGTGCAGGCACACGGGGGGGGGGGGGGGGACACGCACTGGTTCTGCCAGGTCTCAAGCGGTGACCAGGGTTACTTAGCCACCAAGATCCAGGGCCAGGCTGCTCACGGGGCATAGGCTCCTGCCGCAACCTCGTGCCGGGGCCAAGCTGCTGTCGTGGAGCCGCAGCTGGGCCTTGCTCAGGACACGGCCAATGCCCCCGCTCCACTGGAGATGGAGGTGAGAGCCTTGAAGGGTGCACGGGGCTCCCTGTGACCCTGTCCTGTCCTTCCTCTGTCACCTCCACTCCCTCTGCGTGGGACCTCGCCTCGCATGGTCCTCTGCAGCGGATTCCTCCCCTCCCTCCCCTCCTCCTCCCCTGGGCTCCGGAGTGTCCTCACCCCCCGGAAGCCCTGCACCAGCCAGGCCCGCACAGCTGCCCACCCAATCAAGCGGGGGGCCCCCCCCGGCCCGGGAAGGGACAGCAGGGTTTCCGATGCCTCAGGTTCCCCGTACCCCAGCCGCGGGCAGACCCGCCCAAGCCTCACCCTAACCCGCTCTGACCCCAGGCAGCTCCTGGCTGGCATTCCCCAGGCCGTGACAGCCCAGGGTTCCTCCCCTGCTTCCAAGAGGGTGGAAGGTGGCAAGGAGCCCCTGCAGGTCCTAGGCCTGCAGCCCCTTCTCCAGCACGGCCATGCCCAGGGTCTCTGAGGCTTGATTACCAGGGCAACCACCAGGTGGGCTCTGGGGCGGAACCAAGGACCGGGAGGCCCAGGTCGCCTTTCCTTCTGCAGTCTGCTTTGCGGGCTCCAGGCCTAAAATAAATACCCTCATGTGTCATGGTGAAGGTATCGCTCTTGCAGGGAAAACAAAACAACACACACACACACACACACACACACACACACACACACACACACGAAAGCAATCCCTGCTGGAACTGGTTTCTCTTTTCCCCGTCCACATGCGGGGAGCCTCGGCTGGCGGCCCCGGACGCTCCTGCTTGTCCACCCGGAGTCGCCGCTGCATCGCTCACCCTGACCGGATGCCGGAGCCGGGTCGGCTCTGGGGGCCACGCGGGCGGTGGCATCGCGAAGACCCAGACTTCCCCGTGCGCCCTTGCGGTTCAGGAGTCCGTCTGTCTTCTCCCTGTTTGGAAAAGTGCTGGTGTAGTTACTTCTGATGGAAGGGTTTCCCTCCTGCCCCCGGGGTCGTGTGCTGTCACCAAGGGGGCAGCAGCGCGTTCAGGCTCTAGGGTGCCGAGGCCAAGTCCTGGGGCAGAGGGAAAGCCGGCAAGCTGGGAGGATGGGCGAGATGCTGAGGACACTAATATCAACGCCCCCACAAGGTGGACACCATCTATTGGCAAAGACGAATGAACACTTTTGCCCTCCAAAAAGAATCCTTACATTTATTTTTTTATTTTTTGTCTTTTCGAGACAGGGTCTCACTATGCAGTTCAGGCTGGCCTTGAGCTCACTTGGTAGCCCAGGCTGGTCTCAAACCCACAATGATCCTCCTGCCTCAGCCTCCCGAGTGGTGGGATTACAGGCGTGCGCCACCACGCCCGGCTTCCTTACTACATTTAAATGCAGCTGAGCCTTCAGCACCGCACTCCCCACTGAGTCCCGGGATTTTCCTCTCTCTGGGAGGGTGCCCGGCAGCAGGCAGGCCACCTTCGGCCACCAGGATCCTCACTGGCCGTGAAACTCCAGCCAACCTCCGGGGTGAAAGAGGAGCCTGCAGGCTGCCTGGGTGACTCTGTGAGTGGATGGAGAGAAAAGCTGGTTTCTTTTTTAAGCCATACATGTGACTCACAGACTCTTCTCATTCAAGGACTTACCTTCCTTCTCTTCCTATTTCTTTGCTGGGTTCTATTTTTCTGCAGTGAGGAGTTCGAGCATCCTCACTGGAAAACCCGGGTTGGGATTGAATGAGTTATTACTGGCTGAAGCGTGAGCAGTCATGTGTACATAGAACCTTCTTTTAAGTCATTACGTTCAATTTTTATTGTTGCAAATGTAGAAAGTGCCTACTGTCAAAATTAGGGAGTTGACCCGGTGTGGTGGCGCACGCCTGTCATCCCAGCACTCAGGAGGCTGAGGCAGGAGGATCATTGTGAGTTTGAGGCCAGCCTGAGCTACAAAGTGAGCTCAAGGCCAGCCTGAACTGCATAGTGAGACTCTGTCTCAAAAAGACAAAGAAAAAAAAATAGGGAGTGGCAGAGAACAGTAAGGACAATATAGAAAGTAGCAAATCCACCCAAGATAATCGCAGGAAACATGTGGGCCACCTCCTTTCCATTTCCTTTCCCCGGGGAACGGTTCTTACCCAGGGTACCCTAGGTGGAGGAGCCCGCCGTAAATGAATGTCTCGATGCCTGAGTTGCACATGGCAGAGCTGGGAGGCCACTGAGCTGGGTGACGTGTTCCAGGCCATGCAGATTCTTGATGGTTGCTGAGCCCAGAGGCTCAGCAAGGCTCTGTTGCTATGTTTTGACCTGCTCAGCAAGTCCTAGAATGTAACATGAGCCAGGTGTGGTGGCGCACACACTTGTCACCCCAGCACTGGAGAGGCTGAGGCAGGAGGATCCCTTTGAGTGTGAGGCCAGCCCAGGTTACATAGTGAGATCCTGTCTCAAAAAAAAAAAAAAGGCAAACTGAAACAAAACAAAAACAACCACCAAAAACCCTAGAATATACCACGGCAGAGAGCTTGATGTCACCTCCGAGATTTCTCTTATTTTCCAAAGAAGGAAATGCAAGCCCAGGTCAGGAAACCTTCAGCCCTTCCCCTTTGTGCTGGGGGCGGAGTACGGGAGCAGCAGTGGAGATTTAGCAAGTGCAGTCGTCGTTGCAGAGAGCACGCATGCGCACCCCTTCGGGGGCCTGGAGGTCATGCGCTGGTCAGGGGCCCCATTGTGTGCTCACTGGGGGGTTGGTCAGCCTGGCAGGTGGCGGCGGAGTGGGACCTGGCAGGGCTGGGGAGGAGCTGTCTGACCGCAAGAGTTCGAGGCTACCAGGTGCCCCGGAATTGCCCTTCTGGATGCTTTGCGAAAAGACTTGAAATTCTTGTTTTTGCCAAACTTTGGTTTAAAAACCAAATAAATAAAAGGAACAACTCCATCTGATATTGGGATATGTATTATTCTATCCACGAACTATAGACGTAAGGATGGAAGTCTGACGTGTCTCTGGGACACCCTCCTCAAACAATGCCCGCGACTCCCAGATGCCTGAAGATCGTATTTCCCTCAGACTGTCTTGCCGAGCTCGGAAGCTCGCTAGACATTTGTTGACTGAATGAGTGACCGGGGTCTTCAATGAAGGCACCAGAAGCTCTAACCAAGGCAGCAGCCCGTCAGTGGGACCGCTCTGAGCGGGCCACAGGTCCCC